TTCGTCATGAAAGAGGGAATGCAGCCCATAAAACGCCAGTTGGTAGAGTTCACACAGGGCATACTATCCCTCCAACATATCCACATGAATGAGACTTTGTGGGCTCTCCCTGGTGGCACAAAGGGTTAAAGCGCAGCATTGTGAAGCTACTTGCAGCATGAGTTCGATTCCCGGCCAGGGAGCTGACCCACATGGCGCCGGCAGACCTCTCCTGACCTGCCCACTGCTCCCCTCAGCAGTGTATTTCAGTCACTCTGCCTGTTCTGCTCCCCACTCTGTTTCTGGTGAATCCTCTCATCCCCTGCATGTCTGGCCTGTACCGCAGTTCTTGTATGCATACATAAATAAATCTTAAAAAAAAAAAAAACAAAACACCTCCTGGACCACCAGAGATTCCTGATTTTAGGGAGATAGATAATGAGGCATAAACCATTATTTTTGGATCATCTTTCTCTCCATTTCTTTCAATTAAAAATAACCGGCTTGCCTCTTTGGCACATCCTGGTTTTGGTCCATAGGAGGAAGGGGGATGGCTACTGAGAGAGTCAAAGAGGGGAGTGGCCACAGTGACTTGGCTTTCACTCAACGAAATGGAAACCACTAGATGGTTTTGTCAGGGCACAAGATAAAACATTCCATGCCCCTCTGGATTCTTCTTGAACTGGATGAGTAATCAAAACGGCATCAGATGGGGTTGCAAAGGAAAAATCAATTTAATAAAATATGTATGTAGAGTTTAGATGTTTATAAAATCTAAAGAATAATGGAGCAGAACAGAAAGATATTTTTTAAAGATTTACTTATTTATGTGTACAAGAGCTGGAGTGTAGGTCAGAGGTGGGAGGACAAGGGGGTGGTGAGAGAATTCACCAGAGTCAGAGTGGGGAGCAGAACAGACAGACTGATGAAGTACACTGCTGAGGGGAGCAGCTGGAGACAGGAGTGGTCTGCTGGGCCATGTGGGTCAGCTCCCTGGCCTGAGATTGAACTTGTGATGCAGTGGCTGCTGATAGCTTCAAGATGCTGAGACATAACCGTTTGTGCCACCAAGGAGGCCCAGAATAAAAATATTTATTCTATGTTTTAGGACCTGGGGCATCAAGGACAGAAAAGGGGAGACCTCATATGAGGGGGTGATCTCATTTTTACTCACAGAGAGAACGTGTTCACTAGTAAACTACAGTTCAGGGAGACCTGAACAATTAGTGATTGTTTATTTGATGAGGGTGGGATTAAGGGTAAGTGGGCTAGTTTCTCTTGGTCTTCAATGTATCTCTGCAAAATAATAAGCATTTTTAAAGTAACGGTAATAGACTTCCCAAGGGTCCCTGGGCCTTGATTTACCTCTAGTTCTCATACCAAGATGACAATAGACTTTGGGTCTATTGAGAAAAGTCTTTGATTCTTTGGAGGGGGAGGGGTCAGACCTCACAACTTTAAACAGAATAGTGAACTGATCATAACTTTGTTTTAAAGGAGTCAGAAGGGGCCTCCCTGGTGGCACAGCACTATCAAGCTGTCACTGCTGTACAAGTTCAATCCCTGGCCAGGGAGCTGAGCCTCATGGCTCAGCAGACTCTCCTGTCTCACCCTCTGCTTCCCTCAGCAGTATAATTCAGTCAATCCATCTGTTCTGCTCCCCACTCTGTCTCTAGTGAATCCTCTCACTCCCCCTCCCCCACACCACTGGCCTGTACCCCAGTTCTTGTATGCATAAATAACTCTTTAAAAAAAAAAAGTAAGAAGTGGCCTTTATGGGATATTGTAGGCTTTAGCTCTGATGAGCCACACCCTGTCCTATTCCAGGCTAAGTGACCTTAGTCTGAGTTCTTTATCTGGGAAGTAATTCTAAGGTCTCTACTAGGCACACCTCCCTCACTACAGCTGACTTAAGAGGCCCAGCCTTTGTGTCGGTAATGGGGCATAGACAACGCAATGTCTCTATGCTTAGCATGGAGTTTCCTAACTGTAAGAAGATCCCAGGGATTTTTTTAAAAAAGATTTTATTTATTTATTTATGAATACAGAACTGGGGTACAGGCCAGAGGTGCAGGGGCAGTGACAAGATTCACATGGTGGGGAGCAGAACAGGCAGACTGATGAAGTACAGTGCTGAGGGGAGCAGCGGGCGGATCAGGAGATGTCTGCTGCGCCATGTGGATCACCTCCAGGGCCTGGGATCGAACCCTCACTGAAGCTGCTGCGGCCGCTGCTAGCTTGCAGGGCTGTGTTCTAACCCGTTGTGCCACCAGGGAAGGACTGATTTTTTTTTTAAGTGGGGGTTCATGTGTCATTAAAACTAGTTATTTCAGAGTCTGCGAATTTTCCTGGCTCAGGGGATTGCGAATAGTTAATAAGCCATCAACAAGTCCATGCAGTCACAGTGTCCAGAAAGTCCATGCACAGTCACAGTGCCCAGAAATGGAGTGTCCAGCAGCACAAGAGTCAGGCCTATCGGTCTCAGCATATGGCCTGCTTCCAGAAACCCATTCAGCTGCCCTGTTGTCAGAGAATCATCCTGTCTTGACTATGCTCCTCCCAAACTAGGCCAGGTCCCTGAATTAGCATCTCTAATTTTTTAAATTTTATTACTATTTTTTTTTAAAAGATTTATTTGCCCATACAGAACTGAGGTACAGGCCAGAGGCTCAGGGGTGGCGAGAGGCTTCACCAGAGACAGAGTGGGGAGCAGAACAAGCAGATCAATGAAGTACACAGCTGGGGGTAGCAGCAGG